GGTCTTAATCCTGGGCAATGTCTATGGATCCAGTTTATTGGACATCAGATGACCGCCATGACAATTTCAGCTGGCATTCAAGGGTCTTCGCCTCTGTTGACCATAGCAGAGAAAGGGCTGGGGTTCGATTTGCGTTATTCGAACGCATCCGCTGCCACCAATGTAGAATACCCGAGCCCTAATAGTTAAAAGACCGTTACAACAGGACAGGCTTTATTGACCAATCAGAAGCCAGAGCCACGCGTCAGGCGCCTTCCACCCGAGCTCACCACGCTGGCCACGCTGCTCATTATATACTGCATCTCATCCATGTGCTTCTCTGGTTGGCTGCCTTCCTTTCCCGCATGCCATTGGATCGCAGAGAGACACGGGATTGGCTGAGGCCAGGTGGTCCAACATGTCTGCGCCCCGATCCGACGCCACGCCACACCAAACCGCAGCACACACTATTCTGCAATTCTTCGCTGTATTACTCTACACAACATGTGAGTGAGCTCAGATGCAGGGAAATATCTGTTTGACTATTTGCTCGTCACCTTAGACGAATCACTTCACTGTGCAATTTTGTTAAATTTGTGACATTCTGGTTATTGATACACGTTATTGGTATTAAGTCATTCAGTATTGTAATGAGTTGACTCATTAATTATTTGTGCGCTTTATTACAGCAAGTTGACCTTTCGGCCTCGGAATTTTAGTGTACTCGTCTTGTTTTGCCACTTAATCGTCTCTCTTTGTGCACACGAACTTTTATTTTGAAGGTTTTTCCATTTTTATAACAACCTGATTTTTATAGTAAACCCATGCCATACCTCATGTGGTTTATCCTGGCTCTTGCTGGCATTTAGGCGTTCAAAGTACATATAAAGTATAATATGCAGGGTAGTTTTAGGTGTCCCCGTTTAAAAAAAACAAATGCATGTTAAACTGTAGTTTTTGAAACAAAACTATTAATTCTGTATGCTTCGATCATCATAGATCTTGTGAGTTCATTAAACCACGTCTAAACTGTACAGTAAATGAAGAATAAGTATTGGCCTTAATTACACATTGAAATCTTTTTTTCCTCACATAAGTTTAAGTGTTACTTGTCAGTACTTTGTATTATTTATTTTGAAACTGTGTATGCTTACGAAACGCAGGAAATATTGTTGCATAGCTCTTTTTTGCGTTATGATATTTAATTTACTTTTTCTCTCAGATTTTAGATGGTGAAACCCTCAGCTGTTCGTGGTAAACCGATATCAGGTCGTGTCTGGAAAGTTCCCCGAACAAAACGGTAATTTTCGCTCAGTTGTGTCCCTACTAAAATTTAGAGAAAAACCTTCTACTACTAACCGTCATAATATTCTTTTTGACCCTTTTGTGACTAATTTAGTGTTGAGTCATTGGTACTCGATTGCCGTATGTCACTTTCATGTGTTTATTGATTCTTCTCATTAGATGCATTAAGTTAAGTCGGTTATCTTTTCATGTTCCGTTTTGATTTGGTGATTACTTTAACTTAGCCGTCACATGTCACTTCATATTTTCAAGGATAAAAAGAGTGACAATTTATATCTTTCATGCACATCTCGTTTAAATTTTCCGTCTGGTTTACCTTTACTTTATGCTAGTAGTGGTGGTCGTCTCAGTCGTGAATCCCAATTTGATTGTTTAGTTATTCATCCATACGTAAGGATTCGGGCTTGCGAACAACCTGGGAAAAGAAGATGCACTTAAAGAAGGAACAACAAGAGCGCCGTCAGGATGACGCGAATCGTCGGGAAGCTCGTGCACGCGCCAAGGAGGCTCGGCGCCTCGCTGAGGAGGCACGAAAGCAGCGCCGTCTGGAAAATGAACGACGCGCCGAAACTGTTGTTCCTGTAAGCCAAGTAGTCATATACGATCAGTTTTCTGTCTCTTATGTCGTGGTTGTCAGTTGCTTCGTTTTCGTGAAACGGTATGCTGCTGAATGCTGACAACGCCTCTTGAAGTATTTATTGAATTTATGCAAGTCGATAAAAGGGCAGCCTGACTGATTTCTGCCTCAGTTTTTATAGAAAATGCATAGAAAGTGGCACAGTTAGTATTATTCTGGGGGCCACTACACAAGGGATATTTGGTATGCCAAATATCTACGCTATTACTAACTTTATCGCTTTATTTTCCATTTAGATTAAGAATCTTGCGAAATTAAAGAAACTGAAGAAGAGTCAACTGCGTACAATTGAGAAACGCTAGTGGCCATAACTACAAATTTCTGTATTTACGTAGTGTATTTGTATTCCTCATACATCCACTATTTTTGCTGAGATATTTTATTTTGTTACTTGAATTCGTTGTTAATTGCAACTATCTCAAGAGACATAACGACACCAGTAACAACTCTTTGTTAGAGATGATTGTGAGAAATGCACGTCACTGGCTTCTCTTATTTCCTGGGCCATTCATCCTGAAATGTATGACCCTCTGTGTGCTACTCCGACGCCGTTGTTGGTACTCTTTCTGGTCACTGCCCCCTTCAGTGGTGGTATTTTCACTACGATTTCCGTTGCTGTGTTGACCTCTGGTGTCATCGATAGGTCGCTGCTCTCTTAATGCGTTCCCCACGACTGATTCTGTTATTCCCGTGGTGGGTGTGGATCCCTGTCCTTGAATGTCCCTTAGCTCATCAAGTACCTGCGAAGGCTCCAAGATTCGCACTCCCGATCTGTCGCAGGTCAGCTTCAGTCCTTTTTGTTTTCTAACATTCCAGAATCGCTGGAATAGTTCCACAATTTGTTCTTGGTTCTGATTTGTTACGTGGCCTAGAAAAAAAGCTTTTTTAACAGGCAGATATGCTGGGACTTTAATTTTCGTAAAATCACCCCAAAAGTCTGACTGTCAGGACGGACGTTTGCTATGGGAAATGCTTCAAGCCACAGCCTCGTCGTTTGGCTCTTTAGGCTTGGTACACAGGGATGGTCACCACTTTCAATGCCAGCCATGTTATGACTTTGGTTTCTCACCCAGCCATTTTGCTTGAGTATTTCTAGGTGTGTTTACCAGTTTAAACTTTTTATAAGAATATTTGAAGGTTATAAAAGTTAAACAGACAGTTAGTTGGGAGTATAAAGCCCTTTCAAAAAGCTCTGCTTTGAAGTTGTCATTGTCGGCATTGTCGCTTGGTTAATGTTCGGGGATCTGCACTTTTTTGACGCATCCTTTCGGTGAACTGTCGAATACGACAATGTAAAGTAAGAACTCCCTGCTTGCGTTTCAGACTCGACAAGAAGATTAATGTTCGGGCTGGAAAAAGCGTTTTAATAAATTAGGAAATAAGAGCCATGTTTTGGAGAGTATGCAGTTTTTGCAAGAATTCGCACCACAAATGCCCACATATTTTCACACACGACTTATGCGTACAAACACCAAGAATAGGATGCTAAACAAGTGCTTCGGATCATTAGTGCCTGCGCGTAATTGCAAAAACAATTGTAGTAGAAGTTTAACAGTGAATCAAAATCCACATGGCTTACATTTGCTCAGTTCTTGTGTTAGGTAGCGTAGTACAAAGTATGCTTCAGCCGTGCATTCTAGACATCGCACATCAGTGGTCATTTTGACAGTGTAATCTGGCTCGAATGAGATCTTTTCTCCCAGCTCTTGGAGCAATTTCTCCAAGTCCCACTCCGCAGGGAACTGGGGGAATTGGTCGTTGACGTCTAAAGTGGCAGAACCGACTGGCTTGGATAAAACGGGAAATAAAATAAAAACGCCACTCTAGTTGCTGAGGTCGTGTCAGTGGTGATTTTTGCGTCTTGGTGTACATTTCAATGATAGGAAAGTAGGCGGTAACAAATGTGTCAATAAAAAACAAAATTAATTGTATTTTTAAGAGGGATTTTGATGTAACCTAATCCATTATTGACTACAAAGGCTAATCAGCGCCAAGAAATCAATCTTACGATCTTACAGTTAAATCCTAAAAATGGAAATACCAGTGATACGTTTACTTAGACGCCCTACCTTTTAAAGCATGCTTAGTGTCCGGGATCATGCTGCTCATACCCTATCTTTGGGATATTTTCAAGTGGTGTTCTGTCCAGCTGTAACCTGTGCCAGTGAATAGACCCCCGTATTTTACCGTTTGAAGTCATTTTATAGTATCGTCCTATTGAAAATGAATGTGGAACTTCACCTTTTTATTTTATGCAGGCTCCTATTTAAGACAGAGGGAAAAGTGGGTGGGATGTGTCGATTAGTTGAAAGAGGAAGAAAACAAAATTACCTGTGAAAGTGGTACGTCAGCTATAGAACTTGACTACTCATGATGTGTACTCTTTGCCTGGCACATACCTATCCCATAAATCTGATCCACTATTGCGCAAAAATAGCACCGAGATAGGTGGCTTCAGGTGAAGAATCAGCACTTTAGGTTTAACTGCTAGCTATTTTAGAGGAGCTTGAAGCAGTTGCGAAATATGCATACTGGTCATCGCACAATAGCCGGGTCAACGAAATGAGCACTCTATGAGTCGTGCATGCAGAAATCCCCAACAACATGGGCATGATCTTAACAGCATTAAAGACAGTCGCAATCAGACATCCCTAGCGATCCAATGACAATAAGGCCGTTATATAATGTAGCTGTAGTGGGTCTTCATGATTGACATTCGTCGTCTCCAATGACTTATGTAGAGATATTTGGGTAATACATTTCCCCCAATAGTCAGCGTGTCTTTTCAATCCTCTCCCTTATCAGTGTTACTATCGCTAGTGTTAACAATTGTGATCATGCGACCCCTTGCATATGCCCCCTTGTCATATTACACTCACATTGCTATTCAGGTACTTGTGCATTTACTAGTTCACACGATCTCTTATTTGTTACCAACCTCCATCAGTCGTGTCCTTCTTGTACATGTCCGCGACTTATAAGGATACCCGATCTTGTATGCAAAACGATAAGCACAAAATGCAACTGCGTTGAGCCATCGAACAAACGGTCGTCTCCGTCGCCTCTGGTCTTCACCTTCCCGGACATCTCCGAGGCGTAGCTAAGTAAATGATATCTGGCGGCTCGAGGTGGTTCCAGACCCTCACCGGGCCCCCAAAAAATGGTGATCCCATCGCGATTACTCGACTCAACCCGATACCACAACACATTCTACCGCCAACACGTCTGCCACGTGTGCAAGCCAATCTGCCACAGAAATCTTCCTCTAGTCGTGCCGGTAGTACTGTCAACGCATACCAGTTTTGTAATGTCAGATAAATCAATTCCATTTAAAAAGTTTGAAAAAAAAACAACATACTTGCAAAAATATCATCGCCAAACATCATGAAGGCTCCACCTTCAAACTGAAGTCGATCGTTATGGACGCTAACTTGCAGCGTACCTTGAAGAATAAAACTGACAACAGAATTTGGCACTCGCGATTGGTAGAGGGTGTTGCTCTCCGGCATGATATGACTGCAGATGCAACGATAGCAAATTTAATTTTAAAATTCAATTAAACTTGAGTCTTATTCACCTTTCTAGTCGAAATGAACGGTAAGGGAATAATGTGATTTCATTTCATGTCCTTTGTTCAAACCTTCCGTATTTAGGTATTCATGTTATTAACCACTAAGGTAGTTTTATTTGAACAATTGTGTAGCCGAAACTATGTGTTAAACCTTAATTTAATTTTGCAATAAATAAAGCTTTTTCAGATCTCATAGCAAATATCTGGAATTCATCCAATCCATTTATATATTGCTGCACTTGTTTAGTTACTCCAAAGAACACTAGAGCCCAAGACAACGCCACTGAGAGAGCCCAGCAAAATGGTTTATAAGCTTCTAACAGTATCGTGTGGGAGAAAGAATGGTGTTTTCTGGCTAGCGAAGAGCAAGTTCAGTAACTTAGTAACTGGGAAAAACAGTTTCCAAGATTTGGTGGACATGCCCGTTCATGTCAAAAATAATACAAAAAGAAAGGTCCCTTAAATAAACGTGTACTTGTAATCATGCTGTACGGCGAAGGAGGAGTTCAAGAAACCTTGAAGAATGGTAGTGTGGACGAAGTTAGGTGCGAAGTAGGTAGTATCTGAAACCGCAAATTATTAGTTTAGTGTTACTTAAAGAGCCGTTAGATTAAGCGTATCTGTCCACAAAGACAAATTGGTAAGCCAGTCAGTAAGTCAAAAATGGAATAATTTTAGCCATTAACAAGATTACAATTGGCAAGAAACACATGTTTAAAATGGTACAAGCATGGTGGGAATCAGAGCAAGAAAAATCAGTATTTGAGGCACACTATGCTCGAATTCGAGACGAAGGCACATGGTCTTTTTCCTTACTTCACCCAATTATTCCGGATTCGACAGCTTATCCGAAATATGGCAAGCAAAACGTTTAATTGCTCATAATAAATCCATGAGGGAGCCAATTTTTTGGTTCAAGTTTTGGGCATTAATTTGCTCTTATCACATAAAACTACGGGAAAGAACACCACAAATACTTACTTGCAACCAAATAGCGCAGGGCAGCAATCTTCAGTTGTGGTGATATCTTACTATCGGTTTGATAATTGAAAAATGGCCAGAGATCTGTATTGTGAAACCGAAGACTGCGCTTTTTTCGTGGCACATTATCATCTGAGACAAAAAGTTGACGAAATAGTAGTGACGCCACTTTTCTCACATCGCAAAACTTTAATTATAATCACTAACTTATTATGTCAGTTTCGTCGAAAATTTCTTCCTGTAGGATCTCTTCAATCACATCTTCCATTGTTACCAAACCGATTGCCGTTCGATAATCAAGTTCCGCTTCTTGGTCTCTTTTGCTTTCATCAAAAATGACGGCTAAGTGTGTAGACTCTATAAGAGTGGGATATTGTGCTATGTCGGGTGATGCGAATGATATACTGACAACCATCGTAGCGCTTACATTTGAGTTTATTTGGCATGAGCTTGAAAATATGAAAATCCACAAGTCTGTTTCAAAAATTGTCCTGCAAATGTAAACGGCTGCGTGTCAAGTTTAGTAGCTGTGACAGCTTACACTGAAGGCCACATTAGTCTGTTGACTTAAGTTAACCAACCACAGTTTTAAGGAACACACTTTAAACTCAGATTCAAATTGTTCACTGCTAAATAAATAACAAGACATGTCTAAAAAGTTAGATATTAATTCAGAATGGATGAAGTGACATGTCGATACGTGGAAACTATAGCCAAGAAGATGGAGCTAATTTCAACTTTGTAAACAATAAGCCACCTTGCACTATCTTTGCATTACTTCTTTTTTACACTTAAAGATTTAAGTGCAATGTAAGTGGACTGTAGCAACATCGCATGTGGATTACATGCGACAGGAATTACCGCAGTTGATTTAACCATCATTTACTGTAACTTAAGATATACTTACCCTTACGGAACTTCTCGAATAGAGCTCTTAATGTGGTATTTGGCGTCACATAAATAAATGGACGATTGTAAAAATTGCAAATGGTCGAGACAGGGATTTTGTCCTTGGGATCAACGAAAGCAAGATCCTTGACATTTAATACTGAAGTAATGCGTCTCCTATCCTCCTTGTAAATAGGAATTCTAGTATATCCATGCGCAATTATTTCATTTGTGGTCTCAAAGTCCAAAAGAGCATTATGAGGCAGCATATATACGTTATCAATAGGCGTCATGATGTTCTTCGCCGTTCGTTGATCCATATTAAGGGCCCCAGTGATTATATTAACTTCTTCCTTATGGACAAAACCTAAATGCTCCTACAAAATTATTAAACCAGCATATTACATGCTGTTTTATAAGCTCTGCTAAGGTTGCTTTATTCATAGTTCGTCCCATGTCTTCACCCAACAGCTTATCCAACATAAAACTGACTGGATAGGCTATGGGAAATGTGAGGAATATCACAAGCTTAGTAAAAAAAATCGTCTGATATGCAATACAAAGGCTGAATCGATTGCATAGGGCCTGCGGGCAGATTTCACCAAATACCAGTATACCAAGAGACGCATACAAAATCGCTAACCCAGCACCTCCGATCAGCCTGTCGGATAGCATGGAAATAACGACATTAACAACAACATTTGCCATAGTCAGACTACACAGAATGAGATTTCCACGTCTTCTTACGGGAAGAACATCCGATGCCATTTTTTTTTCTTTTTCAGATCCAGCTTTTATTAGTATTTCCAGGGACATTATGTCAAGGGTCATTATTCCCAGATTGAGGCCACTAAACAAAGCTGAGCAGCACAACAGACAAGTGTACAATATCCATGGACCAGGACCATTTGTATGAAGGATATAACTTTTGAAAACAAAGGCTCTAGGATGGGATGTTGGCTGATGTGTCCACACTAACATGTTACCATTACTGTGTTTAAAACATATGAAAATATGACCATTGTAAGCCGGATGATCCTGGGGGCAAATAGCTAATATCGAGCGATTGTTTAACACTTTAAAGTTCAGTAGTAGGCCGTACTTGTCGTCTTCACATAAAGCTCCTTTCACACCTGTTTTAAAAGCGAATGCGATTTTCTTAACATTTTGCATATAGTCACCAAACAGGTAAAATTCAATCAATTCCGGTTGAGGAAGAGTCAAAATCTCCTTCGTGATTGAATGTATCGGAGTTGCCATGTAAGAAATAAGCTGAGGTACCTCAGAATTTGCCCCATTTATTAAAATAAGAATGATAACTATGTTCTCGCGCATTACACGCAGTTTAATTGGGGCGCTTGAACATTGTGTCCAAGCCGAGAGTTTTAAGAGTTTATGCAGCAGAATACAAATTTGTGATTGGATAATGCTCTTTGTATGATCTAAAAGGTCACTCAATAATATTTCAGTAACTAAACTTTCAATTTCTTTATTACTGAAGGTACTTAAAGTGTAGAAATATGAAAATGTTCAGAAATTTGAAGCTAAAGGAAACTTTTGACAAATTGTTAGACTGTAGTCATAAATGTTCGCATATTTTCATCGAAATATGCCTAGGTTTTGTTTTTTCACTATGTGAATAAAGTTTTGCTCACAAACGCCATATTAGGGATTTGGTCATTGGTTATAAAAGTTCCTTCGTTAATAAAATAGATGTTTTCTAAATGTAAACGATTAGCATAAAGCGAGGTAATTGTTCAATCTTTACCTGCACAAAACCTAATATTCATGACACTATAACGGGGAGTTTATGCAAGTCTACTCGGCAAAGAAGTAACTTGCTGCCAGCTTAAAATGCTCTAATTACTCGATATTAAGCGGAAAAATAGCCCCTGAATCATACATGTACATTTTAGTCTTTTCACAGTGGTTGAATTTTGGAACTTTGTGTCACTTGGGTTGCATTTCAGGATTAAAAAACTGTATCTATAGCCTTGTCAGCCTGCGCATACAACGTGGTACTATCGTATTAACCACTTTCATTTAATTCTCTCATTCTAAGCGGAGTGTTCACGTAAGTTTTTTTAAATCCAATATATGTTCTCAGCGGTTAGACTCATTTTGCGATGGTTTCCGAAATTCGTCGTCAATTTATTTATAGAAACGTGCCTAATTCACGAAACTCGAAACTGCCAAATTCGTGATCTGAATTACAGACACCCTATGAACACTATAACGGGAAAATTATTTGCAACAGTATGAATTATCATTAGAAAAAAGTTTGAAGACTATTACACATGACATACAAATCATGATCTGCTGAGCATGTGTTAATTTCAATTGAAATAAAGTTGCGTCCGCGAATATATTAAGAACGTATAACCCTGAACCTAACCACGGCCACCCTCTTCAAATTCTAAATCTCTCCATAACCTTTGGCTCCAGTGCATATGTATAGCATAGTAGTTAATCCAACTGGTTTTCCCAGCTATTGTTTTATGGCAAGCTTGATTGTCGACTCCGATGGCGTAGCTATCTTTGAGGGACGGGATATTGATTTATCCATTTAGGTCTCCTCTTGATTGGCAATTTAATTACTTACATATTTGGATGGTTAGAATCGTGGACACCACGCCGAATTCAATTGCTTAACGTTGATAAGTAAATATACGGCATAAATTTACCTTTTATATACATATTTTGAAAAGAGCTTGTTTGTAAGCATTATCGACCTAAGCTCGAATTTCAAATTCTTCTCCTTGCTGCGCGTTTTCTGCTGGCTTGAGGTGACTTTCTATTTCGTGTTTTGTTCTTCGAAAGCCAATACAGCGCCCATTTTTTACAAGTTTAAAACCTATCTTTGCATTTTTCTGCAGTTTTGTTTGTGTAGTGTTACCAGATCCTGGTGGGTTCTGAATGTAATGATGGCTGTTACAATTTTCCCCATAACGCTACCAGCACGACCGTAATTGTTCACTGAGCGATATTTTTATGTTTTTAATTTTTTATCATCTAAAGTTAGTCAGAACTCATGGGGCATTCATGTGCAGTCCACATCTAACGCTTTTTGTTGAAATTTGTGAGGTCAAATACTGAAGAAATAACTGTTCCATTGTAGCCTGGAAGGTATGCTCTGTCGTTTTAAATCTTTCCGATACCCTTCGAGCCTAATGTGTCGACCTTCACGCCTCTTTTCATCAGTCGGCAATAGTGACAACGACTCCGATGATACTACGACTGTAAATAAGTTGGTAGATTTCTTCAGACGTACAGACGAGAAATTGGCATTGGAAGCTGCCCAGCATTTTGCCGAGAAACCGATTGATTCTAAGCCTCCTGTTCAGCCCTCCTCAGCACTATCTGTATCCGCACCGAAGCAGGTAAACCTGTTTCACTCGCGTCAATCTTTATAGTCTCAAGTCGATATTTTTTTAAACTGCCTATTCTCAACTTACCGAAGATCCTTCTCACAGTTGTTCACAAATCCCACACCACTCTTACTTAGCATAATTCGTGAGAGATAACGCTCAGGTCTAGAATTTGATAGTGGTTGGTCAATGAGCATGTCGACGTTATTAAGAAACCTTAGTATCTGCTTAGTCGTATGGCATTCCTCCTCTGCAGAAACTCGATTTTCTGATATACAGTGAATTTTTTACAAGGAACAACGTGAACTCTTGCAATGTTACTATTACGTGGGTTTTTGGAAGTTTCGTGTAAAACCATGCAGAGTTTTGCGAGCAACGTTTCTAGGCGCTATTTAAATGCCATAACAATACTAAATTTAACATAGATTGCTAATTTGACTTTTTTCCTATTAGGAAGAGGCCACCAAACGACGTCAGAGTTCGGCTCCGCGGCTCGTCCCATGGACTTCTAATCGTTTTCAAAAGGGATATAGGATCAAAACGTCGTCTGATTCACCGATGAAAACCGCAAAGAGTTTTGCAACAATGCTTCGCGAGAGTACCTTTGTTCAGTGTGGAAATTTCAGCCAACGAGAGGTAAGTTCTTGAATAGCCATCAGTTGGTACCAATAGCGTCCCTATTCCCCTCACCCTGTTATGAATACATTTTATTAAATAATTTAAGGTCCTCGGCGTTGTCGTAGAGAATGCGAACGACTCAGACTTATACATTGACTTTGGAGGCAAATTCCTCGCTGTCGTGCCACAACCCGAGGACTCATTCTATCCCCGTGGCAGCCTTGTACGGATTCGGCTACGCGACCCCGAGATGGCCAATCGCTTCATGATTAACACCAAAGCCATTAGCTTGCTTGAGGCCGACGCTGTTCTCATCGGCCCCTTCCGTGGACAGGTGGTAAACCAATCCTGGGATTCTCTAACCAACAACTATATCCCTTTCCAAACCCCCAAAAATCCCCTAGATTCAACCAGTCACGTTGGAATGAACAAGGAGTTGGTCTCTCTTGACCACTGGAAACTTGATTGATTTATTTTGTTCATAATTCATCTATTTTTAAATAATACAATATACTTAAATCATTTCGCTCACATCTTTTAAACGCCTTGGTTGTGCTTGATGCCAGGTTTGTGCTAAATCAATCGCCATTGGGGCACTTGATTTTGTTATCGGGGTATGTCCCTTCGCCACAATCGACAATTTTTTTCCTCCGTCAAGCCTCGTCTACACTCATTGACCATCACGTAGTTCTCTTAATGCCTTCTGCTCTATTTGCGATCCTTCGTATTCCCGATGACCAGTTAGCTGCTTTAAATATAATCAGCATAACTTTTGGGTCCTGCGCAATTGGTTTTTTTACCAAGCCTTGCACTCCTTTGGACGGTTTCTTAACAAATTGTTCTATCCTTACATTGCTGATGGTCTAACGACTTTTAGTACCTGGGGTAAGACCCTTGTATCACAACTATTTCAGATATTGACTAACAACGCTAATTTCGGCCTTGTTCTCAAGGGAGTTTTTAATCGTCAGAGTGTTTTTGACATCGCGGTTTGTTAGTCACTTGATGCTTACTTACAAACTAGGATGTTCGTCAGAGTAATTTTCTGAATTTAGTTTTGTCAAATCTTAAATTTTTGCATTACTAGTTTGTGTGGTATTGAGCGTTATGCCCAAGTTCACGTCTATCGCAAATGGAGAGTGGCTCAGTCTATTGCTACATCTCCCAACTGTATGCAGTAAATCAGTGGTATTACACAGTCGACCTCACTCAGAAAATGTTTCACAGCTGCTAATTCACCTTCGGTTGCGTCTCAACAACCGTACCATGTTTTCTTACTTGAATGTATACACTGCAAATGCGCACTATGGCAAGACAAGAGACTTTTAGAGCAGCCCCTGATTCTGGCGCCGTCTAACTATTGGCTGATGTCCATCCTGAGTGTGTTTCACAATGCCCCAAGTTGTTGCTCGGGCTCTTTTAGTTATGTCTGGCGAACCGTCAGGTGACGACACCCAGGGCCATCAGCACTCCCGCCCTCTGGGTTTTGATGAGGCTGTGCTGCGGCCAAGTCAGGCCCTCCCCGACGGTGTCAATGTGGAGGTTCGAGGTTATGACTTCAACAGGGGCGTTGATTACGAAGCCCTTCTTGCGTCTTACGCCAGCACGGGTTTTCAAGCCACTCACTTCGGCCAAGCTGTCGACGTAATCAACGCTATAGTAAGAGCCCCTATTTTATGAGATTACCTTAACAGCTTCGATTAACCACTTTGCCTTCAACTCTGATGTGACATCCTAGCTTCTCTTGTGCCCTCTGATCTTACTTCAAATAATTTCGGTAGGTGGTAAAAGTTAGTGGACTCTGCTTCTTCCATCTCAGACATTACGATGCAGTAAGACTGTTAGGAGGGGCATCCAAACGTAATACGTCGAAGTAAACTGCCTTCATTGTGCTTTCTTAGTGCAGATGCATTCACCGTTGCAGTTTTCGTATGTGTACCTTGGAGCACATAACATCCGCACCCACTTCCCGTCACTCGAATGTTTTCCAAAAGCATTGAGCCGTACAAAAATGCGCAGCCAAATTTTATCATCTCATTATGTGTATAACTATTTTTCCTTCATAGCTTTTTCAGGTTCGATTATTTAACTTAGTCAAAAAGTATTTTTTTTAAATTAATTTTCATAAATTTATAGCAATTCGCATTCTGGTTTTCAAAGGGGTTAGGTGTGCCCACTTGTCACTTGCCAAAACGGTTTACTTAAATTACTAATACCAGGAATGCCACTTTTTATTAACTGTTTTCGATCCCGTGGTGTGCTCTTGGTGTTCGCTCAAGAAATAAACAACGCTCTGTTGCTTCTTGAATAGAGCGTTCAGTGGTAGCGGTGCACTTATTACTTTCAATTGCACATGTCACCAAAGTTAGTCAAAGCTGGAAATATACAACGCCTTTCGGTTTGAACCCGTAACGTCGGGTCAGGTGTCTGCAGGTCACACTACGCTGGAGGTTTTTAAGTGCAAACACCTACGGAGTTTCCTGTACTCACAGGATTTACTTTGTCGTAGATTAAGCGAAGGAGTGTGATGCCTGGTGGTAAAGATGAGGACGAGTCGAGGGAGACGTTGAAGGAACTTGGACTCGGTCTTGCCCGACGTTCCGGCTGCACCACGTTCCTTGCATACACCTCCAACATGATTACCTCGGGGGTGAGAGAGGTCATCCGCTTTCTTGTACAGCACAATATGGTGGGTTGCTGCCATCTCTTCAGCCATGGACTTTATCGCATCTATTCTCTATTTCTTGCATATCTTGGACAAGTTGTTGTTGTTCTTGATACGGAGTTTCGATTTACTGATGCTGCTACTAATTCCATTGGTCCATGTTGTGCATGACAGGTGGACGTGGTGGTGACTTCTGCCGGTGGCGTTGAAGAGGACTTTATTAAGTGCATGGAGCCTTTTTATGTGGGCGACTTTTTGCGCTGGTCCGGTGCTCATCTCCGTCATCTGGGCATCAACAGGACAGGCAATCTCCTCGTACCCAACAACAGCTACGTTGCTTTCGAGAACTGGCTTCTTCCCATATTTGATAAAATGCTCGAAGAACAGAACACAATGGTATGGTCTCACGAATTTTTTTTTCACTGGGCAAGGCTGACAAACGCCTTAACTAGCTGACTGATTGGATAGTACTGGGTCTTCACTGTTAGTTAGGGGAGATAAGCAGTGATGTCAATATGCCTTACTTATGTTAGCGTTCATCGTCAGTGTATAAAAATCTGAGTATTTGCATGCTCTGTGCTGCGTCTACAACTTGTTCGCTAAATTATCATCACGTTTTGGGAATTTCCTGGAATACTTTGAATACGCCCTGTATTGTGTACGACATTAAAGTGTTTTGTAGTTCTGTTTGCAGTTCTTCGTGGTTTTAATGTAAGGTTTATCTGAGCAGCTAATCTGAAACTTAGTCAAGATTGATAAAACCCAACTTAAACTAATCATTATTTCAAAATAGTTCAAACTGTGTTACCTGGGTCTTGGCCAAAATTCTAGTTCGAAGTTAGTGCAGTGCGTGTTGGCCACAGCAGGAGACACGACAGTGCCCAGCCCTTCCCAAAAACAGCAGCCCACTAATTTTATTTGTCCGAATTGACCGAATCACGCGCATTGTATTCACTTTCCACATCACTTGTTCATACTCACGTATACTTGTTTGTCTAAATAGGATTTTACCTTATCCTCTTTAGAACATAAATTGGACCCCGTCTAAAGTCATTGACCGTCTTGGCAAAGAAATCAATAACCCCGATTCGGTGTACTACTGGTGCCACAAGGTACGTACACATTGACTTGAAACATGAAAAGACATTGGGTAGTAGACAGTATTTTTTAATTGTCTTCCCGCATCCCCCTGTTTCTCTTTTCCATACTCACAATCTGGCCAAAAACTGGAAATACAAAGTGTGCTTTTTAGTAGAACACTACACTTGTTCAGGTGCCATGTGGTTTCGGTCGAAAGTCTCTTTTCTTAATAGAATGGAATTCCGGTCTTCTGCCCAGGAATAACAGATGGAGCCCTGGGCGACGTGCTGTTTGCTCACACCTACCGCGCGCCACCAGGGCTTCGTGTTGATGTCGTGGAGGACGTGCGACGCATCAACACGATCGCCATCTACTCCCACGCAACCGGTGTCGTAGTGCTTGGCGGAGGCATCGTCAAGCACCACACACTGAACGCAAACCTGATGCGCAATGGCGCCGACTATGCTGTCTATGTGAACACGGGCCACGAGTTCGACGGCTCCGATGCCGGGGCGCGACCCGATGAGGCCGTCTCTTGGGGGAAACTTAAAAGCGCCTCGGAGCCGGTTAAGGTACATGGTGACGCCACCATCATATTTCCACTTCTGGTAGCTAAAACCTTCGCCAAGCACTTCCACGAAAGTCGCATGGCTCAAACCCCTGTTACGTCGCCTGAATAAAATCTCCCTTTTTGCTATCTATTCCTCATTTTCGTTTTAGTTATTGGCGACCAAATCCACTCGCATACCGTTGTTTGATTTACAAACGCTGTACTTTCGTAATATATTATGCCATTTGAGGAAAAATGTTTTAGGTAAGGAAGTCACTTGGTAGGTGTGACAGTGCTGGAAGAAGTACACAAGCACTCCGACCAGTCGATTCCTCTACCCTCACAGATGCCTTTTCCCTGAAGTGGCCCCATCCAAATGTGAAGTTATGAGGCAACAATCATTACTAGCTTCTTCACCAAACATACAAGATGCCTTTTGCAAATGAATTGCTTCATTGAACATCACTTCTACTCAGATCAGCGGTAACGAGTCCTGCATAAAGATTCAACGGGTAATATTTTAAGGTTGTTCCTACAAGACAATCGACTAATTCAAGTTCAAACCAAAAAATTCCTCCACATTGCTAAAATGTCCCACCAAACTTAGGCTTGTAATCGAAATGTCAAAAAGTGAGTCGACTTTATTGCAGAATGCTATGATTACTGAGGAGTGTAACAATTCTTTAAGGCGAACTCGCAAAACTAGAAGAAGGCGACGGTAGTTTGAGTCGAGTTTACTTAGTTTCAGCAGACGTTTCATTAAAGCCACGAGGCTTGCGTATGCGGAAAATTTTTAAACGACTTGTTTGTGAACTTGTGGTGAGTTAGTGCATAGCTATCGATGTGGTTAGCAAGAGCGCAGTAAGGGTTTCATGGTCATTGGGTGTCGTGCTCACCTCTCAAGATAACAAATAGCTATGGCCGAAACTCGTTTATTTGGTAACGGTAAGGTTTGTGTATAAGTGTATTTTATTATTTTAATTATTCTTTGTTAGCATAAAATTGGACCAGCTACAAACACCGTTCGAAATCTTCGGTTGCTTGATGCCTGCTAAATTAGACATTTGGTCTAGTATACTTTAAAAGGCATTTACATCTAAGCCCATAAAAGTATTATGCTAGCAATTCGTGGTTTGTTGAGCATTGAAATGACAAATCCGGATGCCTTAATTTGTAAGACAACTTATTCACAATTGAAGGTTTCCTGTCATCTTTTTCCCGCACACAAAGCATCGAATCCCTAGTTCATGTGTCACCAAACAGAATGAGTTAGCATACTAAAAGAAGGCTCTCGGTAGCTAAAGTAAAAAAAAAACACTGTAGTCAAGGCATCTGGGAAATCAGTGAAGGTAATTGTCACGCGGCCTAATAGTCGATCAGCGTCAGACCTGCAACGTACAATGACGTCATGCACAAATCTCATGGACGGGACCGTCAGTGTGTAGTAGAAATCGGGAGGATAGTTCAGTCCGGTCGAAGGACTGGACCAGCAGACTCGAAACTCCTAAGTATCAAAGGATGGGCTCTCGCGCGAGGATTGTTCCTACCCGGTACAAAAATTGGTTCGAAGTCATGGTTTGTGAATCTTATTGTACGCTTCGAGTCCCCGGAGTTATGTCGAGAACACCTTATCACTTGAAATGTCGTTAGGTACCGCAGTCCATAAAAACCATTTTACATTTCCCATATTTCTTTCGCATGGATTAGAAATAAATGAAAACGGCTTAGCCGAGTCACGTCGGAAATACGAAGCAGTTCCAGATCGAACAACCTGATAATGTCAGGCGGATGACTGTGGTCACTTTACCCATCGTACTTTCCCACCTAGCTCGATGCATTTACGTTTGTCAGGCCACGATGTCGATAGTAAGACGGCTTGCACCCGTGCCCAATTTCTTAAGGGTTCATTGGAAGCTTTTATCATAGATATTGATACCACTTTAAAGCAGGCTTGGCTTTCGCAGATCAAAATCTCTTAAATAGCCTGTGCACCCGGTATGCCGTCCTAATATTCTGTATATGAAGTTTGCTTTTATTTCAAAAACAGTCAAATTAACAGGCATCGAATTAACCGTTAGTTTCAGTGTCCATTCATCTTAAAATACTCTCGCGTTAAATCGATAAATTCCTTGTCAGGTAAACTATTCGGATAGCCTTGCCTGTTTAAATTTACATTTACGGACGATCGATTGGTCAGCAATTCATGAATCGGCTCATGCTGACGCGAGAATCGGCATCGTCATCCCATAGCTACTGCTTAATTACCGATAGTAATAATCGTGGGGATGACGTTGATATGAAATTTAATAAGCTCTTTGCCCGACAAGAAAATTATCCTGCAACCGCCAAAGACAGCAGAAATCGGCAATTACAAAAAACGAAAAATGTAAGGGTTTTGGAAGCGTCGCCAGGAAGAGAGCCTTCCTCACAACTTTCTCAAGAAACCAGTGAAGTTTCTCAATCAGCCAAATTACTTAAAACGCAAAATAACTCATCGGAAATGAAGTTGGAGAGTCATAAACGCCTCAACTTGCATGATCCAGGTATTTTGCACGAACACGAGGGGACCAGTGTTCTTCAACATACTGACCCCAATCATGGCACTATTTCGCAGCCTGGTGGTAGCATTCACTTTCAACACCTCTCTTACCATGTCAATACGAGCATTGCAGCACCCGCTTGCTGTTTTCATGCCGCTAAAAATAATAATGCTATGGTTCCGGGTCAGCTAAGCACTCCGACAAATTCTATCCGCGGTACGCGAACCGATTGCCTTGGTGACAGGAGTGATTTCAATCACAAAAATCTAAGGACATCGTCAGGTTTTCGGCGAGAAATGACGAACAGCAGCCAAGCTAAACTGTGTGCATCATGTCATCGTCCAGCTCTGTACCTTCAGCATCGGGTGAAGCTTAAAACGGCAGATGACGGTCTTCTTGGAAGGTTTGCCAGATATTGTCACCTGAAGCGATTTACTCTTCGAGCGGCCGACAAGCAGGATAGAGCTGTTTCCCTCCCACCGACACAAACAAGCGAAGACAGTCGTTCTTCTGCTACTAGTAGAGATCGTTCAATTGCATACTCAGAAGTTTCAACTCTCACTTCTGTTCCCTTTTTGCCTAACAACGACAAGACCAAAATCCCCCTTGATGACCGTGTTCGCAAAAGCGAGCGCGATAAGCAGTTATTGTCGCGAGTATCTAAACAACTAAAAAAATTAAATCTCGTTTCAGGAACCGGAAAGTGCGAAAAGGGCGCTTTTGCTATGAATTATCATCCTTTTCTCTACATGACATCACCTCACCGGCGAAGAGTGCGTCAAGAGGCCCCAACGTTGCTCAAGAACCCCATGGATGCAGTTTCCATATATGCCTCATTATCGGAAGTTCAGGAGTCTGGCAGTGTAACTCAATGTGGCGACATGACTACTGAGGCCTCGGGATCAACAAAAAGCCGTGATGGAACAAACACAAATTTTGGAAGTCAACATTTCTTGCATTTCACGACATCGCATATCAACCCACTTCAGAATGATAGGGCTGAAATGGCATCGAAGATTATTCAACGAAACATCCTGACTCGGTTGACACCCTATCGAAGAACCTGCAGACACGTGCCTAGTGCAAATGCCTCCAGAATAGCACCTCAGCATGAGCAATATACAGTCCTGCGAAATTACGGCAGTTCATTAAGGTCCGGCGACCAACCACTACTTGGAAGGCGATTTATAAAAAAGCGTTTCTACTTGCCCGAAAGCGCAAATCTTGAGGAAATTCTAGCGGACGCAGACGATAGACGGATAGTGGCAATCTGTAATAAATTCCACTGTGAAATGGTGGCCTTTACCAAGGTTCCCAGAAAGGGATTCATGAAACACGCAATCATACTCTCTGGTACCTGCAGGGAAGAGATCGTCAAGTGTGCCCGTTGTCTGGACGCCAGACTAAACTGGTGCCTTTCAGCCCAATTGGAATAACTAGTCTTGGCGCGGCGACCAAGAGTACCACAAAGTGTGGCATACTATCGAAAGTTAACTCGATCAACGTCAATTTGTTCCCAAATTTACTAACACTGAATACACAAATTTGAACAAGCATAGAGACTTGTTGGGTTTCGGTTGCTAGTCATTCGAAACCATGCGACAGAAGGATGAGGCATCTATTAAAGGCTCCGTAAAGCTCCAAATCAGAGAGTTTAATTGCCGTTCTCAACCATCAAGATTCCAGTCACTATTAGAGCGTGAATTTGTTATGAAATGTCGAATCTCCCTGTTGGAAATATTTCCTCTGAACCAAATTTAAAAAGACTGAGCGGAGCACACATTTTGTTCGATTTTTAGTGCACATTCTTAAAATTTATTCTAATCCGCATAGGTTTATTAATTCAGGTGCAATTGTAGCACTTCAAAATAGATTGGGCTGGCTGGAATTAAGGACACCAGTTCTTGCTAGAGTAAGTGAATAATTACATTTCTAGGTGATAGGTTGTCTACTTGCTTTTAACTCAAGTTTTCTGCCGGTTCCATGTACCGAAAGTCTACCAACGGTTAAATTCACAACAGCACCAAAATGGGGATTTTACAGCTCCCTAGGATTTTCTTCGAGCTTTCATCTGAGTGCCTTGCCGAAAACTAATAGTGTACTGGGAGAGACTTACGCGCCTGCCACGAACAAACCGGAATGGTGCCCAACTCGTCGTTCGCAGTGTGTCGACATATGCAGAATCTACTTCTGTGGAGCCAATGTTTTCGAAGTTCACTTTTGGGAAGGCTTTTGTGAAAAAAGTCTGCAACCTGTCTAGTGCTACAGTGACTGTTCATTCCGAGAGGGAAGAACATAGGGGTATGGATGTCGGCGCCGGCACATAGGCATGGCAACGCAGTCATTTGGTCTATAGTGAAATGCGACTGTATAGCCCGAACCGGGTTGTTGAATTTGACTTGACCTTTAGCTAAACCAGTCAAAATGACACCAAGCAGCTTCTAACCGAACTGAGATTTCTAAAAAGGTACCTTATGACTCCACGCGGTTCTAATTCACAAAATGCACCATACTAGAATTTAAGTTAGTAGAAAATGACTAAAGCCGAATATGCGGTTTACTTACGTGGGGCTATCGAGGATTACCAATAGTGACAAAAACAGCACGCATTTACTTGTAGCGGATTAACAGCGATGGCGCTTGAGTGAACCCTGGTTACCGACCTGACGGTTACAATAAATCATCCCCTTTTCATTAGTTAATGTCATCAGATCCCTGTCATCCGTTCACTCATCCACACACTAAGACACACTTGGCTGGTGTGACGCTAATAAACGGTCGTGTTCACTGTTGCCTCTCTTCTCTCCATTCTTGGGTTGTTACGGGCTGTTAACAAGAGGGTTGTAAGGTAGTGCTTAGACCGCAAGCCACTACATACTAGATTACCAGCTAGATGATGAGCAAGGCCCCGACGAACAAACCGCCTTATCCCCAAAAAGGACCCTTGGCGTAGTCGGACATTCATAATAAGGGACCTAAGGTTTTCTCCACGACAGACCACAAATCCATCGAAGTCAGAAAACACTTGATTGCCAAAGAATAGGCTCCTGAAAGCACGCCTGTGCCCACCGCTAAGACATGAGATGGTTGCGATTCGGCCACACCTTTTTCTGTGAGTTAATTATTACCTACCCCAACGTTGAATTCAGTTTTTTAATGTTTGGCATACATTTATTATATGTAGCTTTATTTAGTGACATTTGCCGTCGTAAAAACTACACACTGGACGATTTTTGAGAAGGCCAAATATGCAAACCTTAGCACAATACCTGTCAGTGAATTCGCATGTTACATCTGGGTCCACATATCTAACGGTAAACACTAAACACAATGTTAGTTACACGACCCCTTCACAGAAGAAAACTAACATGTGGACAAAGTGTAGCACACTAAAAGGATCATACCCGAAGTTCAAACCCCGAAGTTAACAGGGCCCCATCAGATAGTTTTGTGCTTGCATGGTCAGGGCCTAGCCCAAAGCCTGGTGGAGAAGCAGCCACCTGCACTTGTGCCCTTTTTGGTTCCCCCAAAGCAACACGGACCATAATTGCAGCGAGCGCTTGGAACCAGAGTAGCCAAAGCACAGGGGGACTAAAGTTTTTATGTGCATAATTAGGACTAAGATGAGGGAAATATCATCGTCGAAAGTCAATTGTGGTCTGTGGTAGAGCATTCAAGGAGCTTGGGAAGACAGAGACATTGACAAACAAAAACCAAACGACCACGTGCAACCTCAACGGCAGGACCACCCGCGTCTTCCTGCGCCTTCTCCCGTGCACGCTTACTTAAGCAGCAGTGAACAAAAGTCTCCCGCATTTCATCGTCACTCTTCTCGAGGTCATGAAGCCAGGAAAGCAGATTTTTTGAGATCGGTGACGATATTCCCTCGGAGACGCACTCCTAAAATGCAAACGACTACACTAGCAGCCTCTTTAGTGAGAAACGGAAAATGCCACGACTGCTTGTCAGAATGGGATTATATAATGTTGGAGAAAGAGCTAACTCTCGCGATGCAAATCCAACAGTTTAATTTTTTGCACAACTGCGTGGCTGCTGAACCATTAAATATAACTGAACAAACCAAATTCACGAGTTACTTGCCTCTTGGGGCACAATGTTTAAGGTTAGAAGTACAACGTACTTGCACTGGGAATGCGACTAGTAACATGCACATGAAGACCCATTCGATCAAAATTGGCCCTAACCACAGTGTCCGGGTCCAAGCTATTAAACATGGAACGAACGCGAGCTAGTAACAACAACGAGAGGGAGTGTTTCGCCGCCTAGGTTCAGAGCCTGAATCAATCTGATAGCAGACAGGCATTAGAGAACTCTGCACCCACTTAAAAGGCAAGCTGTGGGCTCCATCTTTCAGTTGATAACGAAAGTAAGACCTGTATTAAGTAGCATGCCTGGAATCCTGATAATTTAAAAAAAAATTCATACCTGAACGTATTCCTGAACACGGCTAACCAGGTCATTAAAGAGGATAGACAAATCGCTCCAAAGCCCTTCTAAAGAGAGATCCCCTGATGCAAAATTTTTCGCAGAGCACCCGAGAGCAATTTTGAAAAGGCATGGAAGGATATCCACATCTGGAAAAAATTGTTAAGCGGCAAAAGGTTAATTAAGGACCGGAACTGAAAACGACGATTCGCCGATGAAAAGTGAGTGAAACAAAGTATTTTCAACAAGAATTTGAATAAGCCTAAGACCAATGAATGGCCTGATTTCACTCACACACCGACTGTACCATGAATGGCCGTTTTTCAGATTATTTGAACGACCGAACCACAATACTATTAGCACATTCTTAATGCTATTTAGCGTAGGGAGTTTATGATTATAAAACAAAATTGTTAGGGACAGATGGTAATTGTGACGTTTCGTGACGAAAAAGTGTTTAGCGTGGTCCTACTGAAAATTTGTCAGGGATACCCGAAACTGGTTTGCGTAGTGACACTGGAAAACTGAGTCCGCAGCATTCTAAAACAATCTAGACGTTGGTTCCGTAAAACAGATCTTAAAATCGATGACAACCTCTCCAAGTGCGTTTTAATCACAAAATGAATATAGCAACCATACTACTAAAACAATTTGCATGTACATAAGCATCTTCGAGCTTTAAGGGGGTTCATAATGGGTAGGACACAGCCAAACCCAGTTTCATACAATGAAACTGAATGCCAAAAAGGTTCACCAACATTTTCAGAATACACCTACGGGGAGTCATCGATACACTGTCATTTCTTTGTAGTAAGGAAGCAGAGTCCATCAGCCTTACATGCACTACACTGTGACGAGAACTTGGTTATTTCATTTCCAATAAAATGGCATAAATATTTCAGTAGTAGGAAATCATTTTCAAGACATACATTAAAATATAGGATAGCGTGAAAGTGAACTAAGCTTTCCAAAATCAGCATTTCTTATTAATAATTGAACTCCATGAGTGTCGATTCGCATAAAGCCAACTTAACCAATATGTCGAATGGCTACGTCTTTCAGTCATGCAAACGTTAATAATTTCGCATCATCTATGTAATGGGAACATCGTCTTCTACCATTTCTGACTCTGGCCATATTAAGGACAGGTGAACATTGAAAAACAAGAATTAAAAGAATTTTTCTGTTCTTCATTACTGACTCGACGTTACTTCGATATCTGATACCAACCAAACCACCAAAGTAAACATTTACTCCCTACGAGGCACCATGAGTGATACTGCAAAATCCATTTTCCAAAGCCTTTGGCAAAAATGTAAATAAACAAGGTTTTTGCAAATTGTGTGCACATAGGAGAACAATTCACTTACCACAAGTGAAGGCTTTCAGTGACTGAATGGATGGAAGGTTTGTCATAATCACATCGATCACGGGCAAAATCAACCTCAGGCCCGTGGTATACTTCTCAAATGGTATCAAATGTGGTTCCTCTTCGCAAATTTTTCGGAGGAAGACACCGAAACCCGGGTAAAGTCTATAATAGCTGGACACTAAGGATGGGAGGAGCATAAACTTTGCTTAGTCAATCAAAATTCCAAAGGATTCTAAGGAGCTTGATTGTCGGATATTGGTAATGACTTCAATGACAATTACAAGACAATAGCAGTCTTTTCAAGCAAGACCTTAATATACAACGAAATAACAAGTAAGAAACTGTGAAGCACAAGCCTCATAAGGAAAAAATGTTATCAGAATACGAATGAGATCAAGGGTTTTTTACGTTAAACAATCATCACGACAATCATACGTCCACTAATCAGGATTAGAATTGTATTGAAGAAAAATGAAACTACATAAAAACGCAAAAGAACGTACTCAGTGTCCGAACTCCCGTCGAATTAGTTGAAAAAAGATACAAAATACGGTAGATAATCTCCACTTCATCTCCGTAGATCCAACTACCAAGTCAGAAAAAAGACAACCCACCACATTTGGTTCTGGGCCTCTTGTAACGAATTGAGCAAGTCATCATTACACCAAAGTTCGCACATATTGTCGTCTATTCGGAGAATGGTTTCGACAGCACTTATTGTGCTCATCAAGAGGCTGGCTAAATCAGGACGAATAAGATGAGGAGCAGACCAACCGTTTGTCGAACTGCACAGAATGAAGTTAACACGATCGATAAATTCTGGCGCAAAGTGAATGGAATCTAACCAAGCTTGACGATGGAGTCTTGAGGCAAGAACGGAGCGAAGGAGCCTGAAATTGATTATTACATTCCTTGACCCTCAAAGTGGTGTTACCTAAAGAGTTCGATGAGTACCCGAGTGTCGTCGGAAGCAAGCAGAGCCAGCGTGTTCGTCCTGGTACCATTATGAATAAGATCTGCACTTACATGAATCCAGGCTCTTCGGATATTAAGCTACATTCGACATCATCCAAAGATAAATTAGCAAGAATGCCGAGAGAGATTTCCTTGAAAGGGAAGCACATGCAAGAAAATTTAATTCTTATATGGAGTTATCTACGTGCATTACAAAAAAAGTCATTTACAAAAAACCCTGAATTATTCTAGCAAGCACACCGGTTGACGAATATGACACTAGAGGTTCTGTGGAGAAACCGGGGTGTATATTAAAGACATTTTATTTTGACTCACATATTTTGATACATAAACCAAACATAAAACTTTAAAAAATCACTCACCGATTTAGAATTAATTACTTTGGAAGAAAACTGTTCATCGAAGTTACAGACAAATTTTCAACTAGGTTAAATAAACTTACGATTAGCCTGGGGCATTTGCTCCGATGGATGCACTCCGTGAAAACTGGGATAAGTTGGAATTCACGGAGATGGGGCAACAATGACTGATCTGACGTGATGTCCCATAGACAGCAGAGTTCCTCTTCTAGCGATGATTCTAAACTGTCTTCGATTGCAGGCGCCGCATCCTCAGTTGTGCTAATAGCAGTGAGAACTTGAAGGATGAGGGTGTACAGCCATCTCTTGCTATAAGTGCTTTCACCAATGTGGTCAGACATTTCGCAGGCGGAATCTGTACATGGAGGGGGTGATGGATTCCGTGTATCCATTTCACAACAGAAAAGGTGCCTGGAACCAGAGTCTAAAACCGAAAGACAAAATTTAATCTTAAAGAGGAAAATCTTCAAAATACCACAGAGAACAAGGCTGCAGTGAATGTTGTACGAATTTCACAACCATGTTAGATAGACATGAAACCAATCAGCTGAATAAGCAGCAAGTAAAATTTTAAATGAATTAGACTTTAGAACGAGATTTATAAAATCATGACAATATCAACAAAAGTAAAATTTCGGGCCCAAAAAAGAAACAACAACACTACTCAATATCTGTGACTTGGGATCTACGACATAGCGGGAAATAAATTTGATCAACGTAAGCATTCCGCGAGGACACAAAATTGCTTGGAGAATAAGAAAAACAAGAATAATTGTGTAAAGAGCGACTCTGAAACTCAATAGCTTGCAGTAAGAACACTCTTATATTGCTGCAAAATATCAAAGGTAAAAAATAACAATATTTATTTGGTAAAGCACCGTAGAAAAGTTAAAGTGATCGAGATGCCTTTCATGAACTTCAAACCACAAGCCAACTAGCGGACAAAGTTTCAAAAAGCCCACACTGCAACAAAACGTTTCTAGTAGCTGTTTAAAATTTTATTCTAATTTGTCATCTTATTTATCGATTTGACTTCTAAAAACAATGTAAAACTTTATCAGATAAATAAAACAGGCTAGGAAAATTTACTTTACTTAAATTTACTTAATTACTTTTAATTCATTTGAAATGCAACCGAAATCGTTGGCAAGTGTGAAATTCGGTTTTTGCTATTTATTGTGCAGACGTTTCTCACACTTCACGCTGGTTTGTCGATAATTTAGGTTCTAATTACTATACACGCAATTATTAGATTTAATGGAAAACAAATACTCACATATTTGGTGTTGGAATCTCAGATATTTTCACGAAGCCTATGCATTAAGGGAGGCTAAGGCAATGGCGTTTTAATTTTTTACCGTAAATATCCATTTTTAGCTTTCTCAGATAATTTTTAATTAATAAACAACGCAAATCATCTATTGGAATTCGTTTTAGGCCCTAATAGTTCTAATTCATAAAGTACAACAATCCGCACGTTAAATCGTCTTACCAAATCACCCTGCATGCCAATCAACATCTCATATTTTATTTTCGATGCTGTTCACATTGATATGGCAGGTTCAAATTATTTGTGTAGACTGTTATACCTAATGGTAAGATGTTTTTTATCACGCTAGACGGCACCACCGAAACGCTGATGAAGATCATTAGTGATATATGATTATTGCTCTTCATTGTTCCTGCCACCGGAACGACTGATCGAAGAACACAGTCAATTAGGTTCCAAAATCTGACCTGAATAAACAGCAATTAAATGATCACCCACCAGCCACTCCTTGACGTTTCATTGCTGAACGCTTTTTCCCTTCATTTCTTCACACTGATTTTGCTCGTCAGCCCGGCTCTTTACTTTAAATCCTACCCTTAATTCAGTTTGTCTGAAACAACAATTTAGTCTCTTCTTTCGACGAAATGCCATAAGTAAAGATATTCAAACGAGCTGGTGGGCTTTTTATCGCTGCATCCCAAGCGTCATGGTCAGAGACACTTAACTGCCAACGTAATTAACAGGGAAGCCAAAATCCACTTAAACCTACCTTATTTTATAACAACACGAAGTCCAATTACCCCTCATTTTTAATATGGTATCAATTGGTCACCGTGGACCTATCAAGCAACCCAGACGAAAGAACAAGCTTTTAATATTTGGGTGCCTCAGAAAAAAGATTTAATCTGTCGAACACCCACAGCCTGTCTTCCTAGGCATTGAACTTGACTTTAGCTAGCCTTGACTGAAACTCTTCATGGGTCCTTCCAAATTAAAGCAAACCGACAAGATGAACCTTTCTGCTACTGCTTATGCTGGTGCTATTTACAGTTAGTATCTCCAATGCTTACTTATCTCATGAGATTGGTGACCAAACAACGCCCATCATCAATGTACATATCCGTTCTCCTACTACAAATTAATAACACGATAACAAATTGCCCATTATTTGATACAACCGGGGGGAGTTTTAATAATTTCACACTGACGTTGAATTAATTATCGGCACAGAGAACAACTGATTGCATGACTCCCAAATAAGCTCCCCTAAGAGAATTGTTGAAAAATCTTTCTGGTCCACAAGGCTCCTAGGTTTTCTAAAGTCACCTGTCTCTTTAGAGGCAAAATCCTCAATTGAAATCTCAAACGTCGTCACAAATATGTTCCCTTCGCACCATGAACGTCTTTGAACACTTTTAATTTCCATTACCAAATTTTAAAATGGTGCAAATATTAACAAAAAATGCATAGCAAAAACTATTTGCATTTTTTTCGAAAGTGCATTACCACTAAACTATTCAAATTTTTTCTGAAACTAAATAGCCTTATAAGCTGCATTGTTTGTCTTACTTTTAAACGTACCACTTTTGTTTGAATTCCTACCCATGACGCGTCTATTGGCAGATTCATCCCCTTCCTTAATTGGAAACAGTCATGGGAGCTGCTTAATCCGTGTGCTAACATTGCCCTGACACTCTTTACCAACAACTGCTAACCCAAACACACGCTTTCATGTCAATGATTGTGTTCGCGCTTCCCATCTTCTCCGTGGTCGTATTCTATGTGCGCTAACGAAAAAGAGGACCTTAAAGTGGCTGCACAATTACAGCCTTGTTTATCGAATGTTTAGTGCTTACTACCCATAGGTCAACGCTGGACTTTTGCCCAGAGAAGGTAAATATTCCAACTTTGAGAAATGGCCCGAATGTGCATCCATTGAGTTGACGACACAAGTCTCCACACTTATCCATAGCATCCAGGTTAGTAAATACAATGGCATCCCGAGACCCTCATGTAGTCGGGATAGTGCTAGTACTAAAGGACTTTCAAATTTCAAGCAGCTTTTTGTTCCATTGCACAAAATAAAGGTGACGCCAGCACGGGAAACTGAACAAAAGTAACATGTTTTAAGAATGTGACTAGACATTGATTCAACACACGAGGTCATTTAGAGATAGATGAAATCACAGTAAGGTAAATTAGGCATTTCAGTGAGGCCCACACTCGATACTCAAGAATTAGGCCAAAATCCACTGATCCAAATTATAATTCCGCAGTGAAAGCCTCGAGAAGGCCCTTGCAACACAACAATTCACACTTTTGTCTAGAATATCCGACATGGCCTGTTGATCAGATAAAAAGGCGTTTGGATTTGTCCTTACATGGGCATGGAGTAATCATCCCCTTAGTTCAGTGAACTTCAAAATTTAAATCGTCGGCACGCGAAATCATAGTGCCGACCACTTACAGTTAACGGCAACCAAAGGTATGCCCAGAGAACCATGGCAAATATTCACATGTTTAGTACAGTTCTGGGCTGGATGCTTCTTGATCCCACCTTTTTTCGAAACGACGAAACCCCGCGGCGTTAGCGTAAACAGCTGGCAACTAAGGCGGCGCGTAAGAGTGCTCCGGCCATCGGAGGAGTGAAGAAACCTCACTGTTACAGGCCCTGACGGAGCTGCTTGTCCGCAAAATGTCCTTCCAGCGTCTCGTTTGTGAGATCGCACAGGACTTCAAGACTGATCCTCGGTTCCATAGTTCCGCAGTCTCGGTCTTGCAGGAGGCTAGTGAGGCCTCTCTGGTCGGTTTATTTGAGGATACAAACCTGTGCGCCATTTACACGAAACGTGTGACGATCATGCAGAAGGGCGTTCAGCAAACTCGCCCCATTCGTGGTGAGAGGGCTTAAGTGTCCCGAGCGGCTGAAGTGGAAAATCGCCACCGAGAACGATGAAACGGTCCTCTCTAGGACGCCCACAGTGGGTTGTTCTGTCTGGCTGGCTCTGGTGCACAGTGGAAAGTGTTGGGAGTAGTAATAGTGGGTTGTCGGTTCCTGTTTTCCCATGCAGTGGGGCGAGATGTGGTGCGTCGTGTCGTGGACTGTCCACTTGGGCCATGCGACTCTGCGTGGTTTCGTTAACGTGCAGTAGCGCCGGGTAGTTAAGCATCTCGACTGAGGGTGGTTGATTGTCACAGGAGGGTTGTGTGGACGGCTGCCTAGTGTTGCTTCCTTCGCAAGCGGCAATCACTGTGGCTTCCTGGTCCAGTATTTTTCCTTACAAGCTTCCACCGAATTAAATGTTGAACGCTGCAGTGTATCAACATTTAGACCTACATGGTCGATGCAAGATCGCTTGTTCCTATAACTGGCTCTCAGATATTTCTTTTGTCGGGCAATCGATACTCAAACGGCGCACAAACCTTATTGATCACCCACGGGCTAATTTTTCACACATTCCTTTATTGATTTCGGTATGGCGACTAGATTACTAATTGTTAGATATCTTCGGTAGTGTCTGTCATCGCTTGACTTCACGTTTTCCTTCGGCGATGCGGGTGATTGAGGAGCACTGAGCTTGTTAAAACACTACACGTCAAATGGGGACAAAAAGCACTATTGATGCACACTTGCAAAGGCCTACTGAGTGTTTTGCCAGCACCTTTTCTTGTGCAGAAACGTAAAAGTTTAAATTCTACTCCCTGGCAGATTCTGCGAAGAGACCTTAACTGCCTTTTGCCTTCAGTAACAAACGTGATGCTTTTTCTAGCGCTGGGAAAGGAAGTATCTCCATTGGGAACCAAAACCCTGTCTACGACAAATGAATCCGCAACAATTGATCGGTTCCTTGTTTTCGCTTTGTGCTAAACACTTGATTCAGACCTACCACAACTTACTCATGTCCTCGTTTATCGACTGCTTTGTGAAGATTACCATCCTACCAAAATCGGTGTAACGAGTCTGCAGTGGACCGTCAAAGATTGCGCACGAGTGAAGCATTCCATGCAGTATTGGTGACTCCAATGACTCATCCCTAACTTTTATTGGTAACAGTCATCAGTGTTGTTTGAGGCACCTAGTATCTGCGGGTTGGATAGTACACGATAGGGACTTTGCAAACACTGAGTGGACTTTACCTTCATAAACTACCCGGCTCCTGATGCTACGTCAATTGCACATTAAGAGGTGTGGTCTTCTAGCACGCTTCGTTTTAGGATTTGTGGCGTCTTAAAGACAATGTCACTAACGCCTAACGGCCATCCCCCTATGAGCAAAAATGAAATTTCATATACAAAGTTATCTTTGAAAAAATAGGGTTTTTGCGGCATCCCCAGAGTTGAGTTGTACCGCTGCTTTGTACTCAGCAAGGGCCGCTTCGTACTCTCTTGAAACGTTCCACCAGGCCTGGTAAAAGTAGTCCTTCCAGCCAACCAGGCGGCAGTACTCATTCCATAGCGCCATTTGTCGGTGAGTAAGGGTCCGCGTTTGTGGAGCGTTAGCAACAACAGGTCGGTAAGGGCTACTGCTTCTATCATGCTCCACAGATTCCCGTGATTCCGAGATTTCTAATGGTTGTTCTAGTTCTTCCTCCTTTCCCGCTGCTTCCAGTAATTCCTTTGTCGCCTTATGACGGGTAAATAGAGGTTGTCGAAGAAACTCAGATAGTTGATGAAGGACTGCATGTTCCACTTCGACACTAAATTTCGGTAAACATGACTGTGAAGGCGGAACTGACTGTCTGGCCTCTTCGTCCATGGTCAGGTACGCACTAATTGATGGCTGGATGAGAAAGGAAGGATGGGTTAGGAAGACAGTATTAGATTTTGATTTCAAGCCTTACCAGAATTAATCTTTGTGCAGACACAATATATATCAGATATGCCAATAAGTCACAACGACGGCATTAAAAATCAAAGCTGCCAAATCAACCGACTTGAGATTACTTGTTCACTGTCAACCCAAAACGACTGCATACATAACTGTTCCAACTTGCCATAACGTTCTCCGAGTTGTCAGGGCTTCTGAAGACCACGAATACCACAATAGGACTTTGTATAGCATTTTAGAAACGATGAGTCTTCAATTAAAATTTGACGGTTCAGTTTGGAAATCATGTAGGCAGGTCAAGGTACGTTAGGTCAGAATTAGGCGATCGTATTCAGTCATGTGTTTAAGACGCAGACGCATAACGTTTCCTGGATGGCGACCAAACAGGCCCTCTGAGACCATTTACATAGGTAAAAACACACGAATGACTTAGAAACACGTTATTTTAAATAGGTCCGTACTTGAAATAGCAACTGATGGCAACACGAATAAACCATGTAAATTTGTAGGGTTTTATGCAAAAAGGTCATGCTGGAAGTGGGAAAACTTCTCAAATGACACCTTAGCCCAAATTAAAAACAACAAATCGTCCCAAGAGAGCCAGACTCTACTACTACACCACAGACGGCACAGCTTGAGAGGCATAACTCAACTGCAGTCAAGAGGCGATGCATTTCCTTTTTCTTGTTCAGATCCACTTTAACATTAGGAATAGACCCTCTTCATGTATGATGCGCTCGACTTAAGACCTGATTACTAGTGAAATAGAAGACATCCTCAAGTTGCATAAATTGTGCAAATTTGTAGCCTCTAGAACGTTAGCTCTTAGTAGAAGGCACTTGCAGCACGATAGGTGGCCACAATTTAGTCCAGGAAAATCAAAATTATCTCAGTGGATGGACTGGATAACGAGATGTTCGAATTTGTCCCCACGTAGAGTTGGAGTGGTACTCAGTGCTTGGTACGCTGACATTCAAAGCAGCTATGCTGATTCAGTGGATGGGGATACATGATTAAACGCATTCATTAATTTGGACTTAAAGGCGAATTTTTTTAAGGACATAACAAAATCAGTCAGTAAATGAATTTAATGAAGGTTCACCAACCACGTACCCTCATCTTTATCGCTTCCACGTAGCTCTTCAGATTTCCCTCCAGATTCAATTCTTTAGCGGAACACGCGGATGTCAGTACCGTCTTTTTACCACTTGAAGGTCTTATGCTAACAACAGACTTTTTTGAAGGACGGTCAACTTTCTTAAACACTTCCTGGTTATGGGAATGTCTCTGAGCCGTCGTGGGGAGTTCGGTAACACTGACAAGGCTGGAAACGTCAATTTGACACTCTGATGTTGTTAGATCTGCTGGAATTGGATCTGTTAAGTCAAAGAGAAATTATGATGGTACAGAACAGTAGCACAGCCTCATGTATGCCTTTAAGACTTCTACAACCAACATATAATTATTAAACTATTGCTAGTAGATGTTAGAAGTGCTTCTGATGAAACGAACATGTACTAGTAATGATCCAAGGATGTAGGACAAAATAGAGGCATGGACCAAAGTTGGTCTCCATCGAAAAAAGGAACACCAATATTGAGGTGAATGCATCAACTTAGTGGTATTATCGTTCATTTATTAGGCCATTCGATTTTTGAAAGTTGATCAAATCTGGCACCATTAAGTGGACTAGAAGTCTATGCATATGGACAAAGACCCAGCAAAAGTAGATAAAATTATTGTATGGCTAAACAAGGATTCAGTCGCCTAGATGAACGGAAGCATATATCAATCTCTAAACCACAAGTCTGCGAATTTATTTATTCATTGTAAGAGAGCACCACATTACCTGGAAGTAGAAGAATCGGTGTGGAATTAGGGTCTTCGACTCGAGACAAAAGGCTCATTTCGTTAGAAGCATCGGATACCAGCAGGATGGATGCTCCATAGCTCCCTGGAGGAAGAGCAAAAGGCCAAGTTTTACAAATACTGGTGTGGCCGTGGATGGTCTGGAGGCGCATGTCACAGCTTACGCGATGTTCCTGATAGCGAATTAAGTTCGGCAAACTCTTTATCACCCAAAAGGGAAGCGATTAACGCTTAATAGCCCCTTACTTAACAGGCAAAACCTGACTGGAAGGTCTGGTCAACTATGTAAAAGAAAATTACCAAGAGTATCCTGCTTCCAATCATTAATTTACAAGAGCAACCTTGTTTGAGAATAATACACTCTATGCTATTCGAACATGCCCCATTCATAAATTAGTAGGGTGTAAAAGACCAGAAGGATGAAAAGGAAACTAAAAATGAAAACACGGAACAAACCAAAGCGTCCAGCTCTTCCTATCCGGTGAAGATAAATATCCCGATTCCATGGCACTTCAAGATGAATCACAAGGTTTACGTTCTCCGCATCCACTCCCCGGGAAGTCTTGTTAGGAGGAAAAAGTTAAATCGAATGAGGTGGCTTTCCCGAACTGCTCTCAATACCCCACTCTCTTCGCCAACTTTGCTATACCGAAACGCACTCTGATTATAGGGGTGATTTACACGTCTCAAACACACCACTGACATTAGTCTTGTGTTGCGTTCTACCTGTGAACCAACTAGCAACGTATCCACCTAAGAAGTTAAAACTAGCTCTGCATTCTGTGGTTGCATGTTTGCAGTAGAACTCCAAAACGGGACTATCAATTGTCAGGAAAGACATTTTTGTTTGCCTTGTTGGTGGTTTAGTGTTGATTGATTACGCCATTAAGGTTCCATTTGACGGCGGTGTTTTACGGAAGGAAAACTGACCAGACGAAGGTAGCCAATAAGGAAAAATCAAGCATAACAAAGCAAGTGAAACTCACCAAATCTGTTGATACAAGGATTCTGCATTGGAATGCACGGAGGCTGTTAAAAGCTCTAAAACGTTCCTTTTGATCGAGGCCACTGGAGATGTAGGCGATGGGCCAGCCGAGGTTTCGAAGGGTTTCGCATAACTGTTCAGCACTCAAGGTGAAAACAATTAGGAGCATAAAAACTTTAACAAAAACAGTCGGCCTTAGTTCGGCAACTTCATAACAACCAGTAATCACTGAACCGCCGTGAGTGGCCTTGTGGAGCACACCGGGAGACTGCACGGGGATCGGTGCAGCGATGTAGAAGGCGCTATTTGAGTCGGTCAAATCAACTCCCTGTGAGGCGTCTGGATAGACCAAATTTAACACCACAGCACCCAATCTCTCTTCATATGCCTTTCCAAGGCTCGCCTTAGGTTGGCTCCACCGAGGAGCGGTGCATTTCAATATTGTGCCAAGACTGCTTACAAACAAACCGATGTCTGAAGAGAATTTTGGTTCGAAGAATCTATGAATGCAGTTGGGCAAGGACTTACAATCACACACCCATTACTTCGAAAATTAACAGATGGCAGTGGTCAACTTTTATGTCCCCAGCCACCGATTGTCAGCGTTGTTGTGCCAATAGGCAAAGATGGGTAGCAAAGCGTGGCTCGGCAGCACATTTGTTAGTGAGCGGAAACTAATGGTGATTGCTGAGGGCTCCGGCGTGTGGGGCGCTGACAACTGGTGACTCCGAAGTGATGGCCTCAACAATGGGTTTTGGCGTCACAGACACTGTGTCGGGGTGATCTGATTTTGGTTGTCTTTTGAAGTCGCTTTTGTGCGATTCTGTAGATAAAGTATCAGATGTTCTGCATCTGCATGATGTTAACTCACCTATTATGGAAATTAGAGAACACAAGACACTGCCTAAAATCAACGTCCTTGAGGATTCTCAACAATTCCTTGATTTTGGCCTTAAACAATGCTGCCGGAGAGGTTGACTTCGACGGAACCTTGTGGAAGAACTGCCGGACCCCTAATAAAGACGGGTCATTTGCTGAAAGTCTCACTAGAGCCGGCGACCTGAGGTACCGGGGAAGATGATGCTCCACAAGGTGCTCGCTGTACGTCGCTGAAAGTGCCAGCACCTGTTTGGATTCTGGCAGTGCCCACCAAATGTAGTTGATGGCAGAAGGAAATGTGTTTTTCCCAGCAAGCAGCTCAGTGTCGGTGGTGTCAGGTCCAGCACCTCCGCTGAACAGGAGGTCGGCTTCATCCAGAACCAAGAGTCTGACGTCCTCGCAGTTCATGTGACCGGCGTTTATGAGATACTTGAGTCTGCCTGGGGTACCCACAGCAACATGGCAATTTTGAACACTCTTAATGTCCTCAGATAAGGGTATGCCTAAAATAAGATTCAAGTAAATATTTGAGCGTCCGGTTAGTTAGTCATGGCCTTAACATACATGGTCAATCGCGTAACTATTGGCGAGCAAACTCGTGCACCTAAAGTTCGTCTGTGGACTCAAAGTTAATAGGGGGGTTAGGCGTGATACCGATTAATTTGCAATAATAGTAAGGAAATTAATGATCAACCCAGGAAGAGGGATTTGAAACAGAACTTAGTCGACACACACGAAGATGAGCGCAATGATACGATGGCACACCGTGGCTGGCTATGAGGCATTGTCGGTCGTAAGCGGCTCGATATTATTTACTGGTCTTGACTCATCTGGTTGTTGCATTAGGGCCATTTACAGATTAGGATGAACGGCCACTTCATTTACTCCGTGGCCTGGTTTGTGTGGCGAGAGAGAGAGAGACAGAGCAAATTGTATAATTTTGTCCGGAATTCCAGTGAAAAATAAGAGTCAAATTACCTCCGACAAACAGCCGGACACGAAGGCCATCAATGAAGCGACCTAACTGACTGATAACGGATGCTGACTGGAATGCGGTCTCACGAGTAGGAGAAATTATTATGGCCTGGGTGCCTTTCTTTTTCACATCGATGGTCTCTAGTGTTACCACGGAAAAAACGACGGTTTTTCCAGTTCCTGATTTGGCCTAAAAGTGTACAGAATTTCCCTTTCAATAGATATTGTGCAAAAGTCTAGAGCAGAAGAAGAAAGCAGTCACCACCCCACTACCACGAAGTTAACGGCTGCCGTGGGAGTTGCCGGAATGGTTGCGCAATCGCCATCACTGATTCCTATGCCCGAAGTACTGGAGGGGTTAGTTTGAGCGAGAAACCAGGGCGTCATGCTTCTTGTGATAAGTTGAATGAATAGCCTCAAACTACTGATGTGAAACAACAAATACGATCAACTGTATTGAAATATTAACGTGAAAAGTTAGGATACCTGTATAGACGTAAAAGTGATTAAGACTAGCAGTTATGTGGGCTGGCGATTAAGATACAACGATAAATTAGCTTAAACGAAGTGAGAAGATATGCAGGGTGAAATAGGGTATTCTACCACAGCATCTCGATCATCCGATAACATGCTTGGAAGCCTGCTACTGACCAGGAATGACGAACCTGCACAATCAAATCAACCCCAAGGCGTCCTAGAGGAATGGCCTTGACCTGGACAGGCGAGGGGCGCTGGAAACCCGCTTGGCGGAGGCCCTTCAAGACATTCACAGACAAACCCATGTCGGAGAATGACAGGAGAGATGTTTGGGAAGCCGTGGCGTTTGGGGTAATAACATCGCTGGTGCGCACTAATGAGTCTAAATTATGCGCGAGTCCATCAATGTCTGGCTCTGCATCAATTTCTGACATGTCCTTTGTCCTAAAAAGGTAGAAATCCACAAACTACCAAAAACAAAAAATGACGCACAGTTCGTGGAAAATTGGTGGCTCAATGTTGGCCTTTAAGAATGAATGGTACCTAATCAAAACGACAGTCTCTGACCGCTCCAGAATTACACGATTTATTGACGGCGCGCAGTTCTGCTACATTAGAAGTTACTGAATCATCGAGCATTTAGTCAATAGAAGACCCCAGAAAAGTTGAAATCAAAAACAGTTAAAGAACTGTTCACGTTAATAACCCGAGAAAGAATCCGCGAAAGTACGCATTATGTCTAAGCCGCTACTTCCACAAAAAAACAAACACCGAAGATTGTCCCTAAATTCAGCTCTAAACGAATCCCATTGTGATGCAATTAACTCAGGGCGTAGGACGGAAACCGACCCTTTCACCAGTAAAAAGTGCTGCTCGTTCGGCTAGACAGCGAAGACATGAAGCCGGTTTCGCGCGGTACCACCAGAATTGGGAAAGCCAGTAGGGATACATAATTTTTGACGAGAATATATTTTTGTGTGAATCTCGTTACATGGCAAAAAACTAGTATAGCCACTTTCCCACCATAAATTAGATGAAGAAAACCATAAAAGCTGAGTAGATATGCGGTGCCTCGCGCCAAGTTTAATGTAAGCGACCAAACAGCGGCTGAATCTACTTCACGCACATCCAGTAGGATGCAATCCGTGAATTCTTAAAAAAACCTCCGCGCACGTGGTACCAGTGGCCCAGTCGGACTCAGCCAAAACACAGAGATACACTACGAGCAAGAATTAAGCCACTCCGTCGCCGTAGGTTGCACGCTGAGGTGCACAGCGACATTAAAAACCGATTGACAAGACGGCTCGGGACAGCCTGATGTGCCCCTGATTTCAGACATCGTGAACCACCTCAGACATTTGCAATCCAGATAGTCCGAAATTGCTTCATATCATTCGGAGTGCGCGTACCAATACACCATAAACAAGGGAGACTGCTGCACAGGATTTTATTAAAAATAAGTTATAAATTTGCTTGCCAGAGAAGGAGGTGGAAAGAGAGAGCAAGGCGCCCACTAACACAAAGACAATGACACAGATACACATGTAAGTATTAGTGTGGTAGATGCGCGGGAGAGCGCGCAGGAAGGTGGGCAAGTGGAGCTGAAAAAGAGGGACTCGTGTCACTCAGGTGGTAGAAGCGGGGGGAGGAGGCGGAGGTTGTATAACAGAGGGGTCTGGTGCTGCAGTTGTAGCAGGGATATTAATTAAAATGGAGTCAACGGGGGTGCCGGCTGCGTCTGTGGCTCCAATCACGGATCCGGCCGGTGTGGGAGCTGCTGCGGCGGCTGCAACCGCGGCGGTAGCGGGGGGAGCATAGCGCCAAATACAGACGAGGTTGTTGTCGGTCACCGCCGCCAGGAAGTGACCGTCGGAACTCATCTCTACGCTGTTCACAACGGGATTACGGAAACCAGAGGTAATTGACTCCTTTAGCTGTTGATCCTCGTCGCGGTTTCCCTGAACAGAGCACTCAGGCCACTCCAGGACCTTAAAGAAAAACATCCAGGATCACTGGGTGGATAAGACTTTGGCGTACAATTTTCTAACAATGTCCCGGATTTGAGGTGCCACCTTTGCGTCGCACTCGTTCTTCCAATGGTCGCTTTCTGCAGCCTGAGTGAGTACTACACACGTGCTCAAACCCAAGAGTGTGGCATGTGCATATGTTAGAGCTTATCACTAGGCTACACAGCCAAACCAGGACAAAACCTCCCATAAATGGGTTTCACTGATATTTATAGTTAAAATAGAAACGGTTTACGAGATGCTTGTACATTAAACATCTGCAGTACCATTCACATAATCAATTGAAATCGCCTCATTAAAAATGAATTGGAAAATACGTACTAATATTAAGAAAAATCGGTAAAATGGTGAAACGAAAACGATTTAGTGCAACTCATAACAATTGAACTGGGCTAATGTGGTTGAAAATCCTGTACAAACGCTCAAATGAAATCAGCAGAATGCTGCAAAATACGACCCTAAAAGTGCAACTAATTACCTTGATCGGTTTAACAAAAAACTTCTTTCTGCTTGACGAGTGAAGATCATCAAGATAGGGATCAAGATCATATATCCAGATGGCACCTTCGTTGTCGCCACAGAGCACAGCGCCGAGATTTTGACGGACCGATACGTTTATGTAGATTTCATCGGTTTTTTGCCAGTACAGATGTCCACGCATTTCGATGGGAACAACTCGTTGGAGACCTATACGAAACAAGCTCACTGAATTATAGCGGTAGGACATGAACCGTTAGACATGTAACAGAAATAATGAGTTCAAGGAAAAAGGTAAGACGAAATTATTGACATAACTCAGTCCTTCGAGTTCAGAGCACTAGAACCACTACATTCACAACCTAAGGGCTTGGTGTTTCCGTTAAATAATCCTGTCCAGGTGAAAAAGAAAAAGGCATTTCCCCCAAAATTTGAAAAAATGATGACGTAAAGCAGATGTTAAACCTACAAGGGTACTTTGTTTTCGTTGAACTCATTTTCTGAACCAGCAGTAAACGCCTCGTAGACGTGGTCACCAAAGCGCTACCATTACAGCTGTTCCACGTGTCACCTCACACACACACACACGCACACACACACCCCTTTAAC